GGATGTGTCACCTTATGCTCAAGGAAGTCAAATGGGGGGGCATATATGATGACCGTACCCATAAGAGGAGAGAGAAAACATCTGTCTTCTACTTATGAAGACTTGCATCATCAGACCTGAATATCCTAAAACATCAGCTGTATAATGGGGCCTTGCCTATACTTATATTTGATCCCTTCAGCTAACAGGAGATGTGAGATTAGTTTACAGATGGCATATATGTAGCCTCTTTGCATTCCCATGCTGCTTAAATATGGGCCCGGTTTGGGATACCTGATTCTTTTCAATCCAACTTCCTTACATCTTGGTAGCTTTGCTTGGTATCTACACTGTTTTCATTTAAACAGTAAGCCAAATATTTATGTCTTCCAAGCTCTTTATTAAAAAATGGCTGTTTTACTCTCTGGCAGCTTTCTTTGGGGAGGGGGATTCTTTGCAGACATTAATTTAATAGCCTATTGTATTTATTTTAGGACAGGCTATTACATTTCAATGTGTTTCTGTTTGCAATTCTGGTCAGTGATTGTTATCAAAATATTCTATTCTATTCTAATTATTTTAGGGCTGCATCCTTGACTTCATATTTTGCTTTTTTTTCTAAATTGCTAGTCATGGTAGAAATCTTGAACAAATGAATAAATGCTCTGTTTGTGCTCTGAATTTAGATTTTTTGTTCCATTTGTTTCTTTTTTATTTTTGTTTTCAACACTGTTCTTCTGTTCCATAGGAATTTGAAATTCAAGGGAAAGCGGGAATGGATATTATACTTTCAGGATTGTGCAACATTTACACCCATTATATAGTTACTTATGAAGAATATCAGGTAATTAAGTTGTAATATTCTTAATACAAAAATGCGTAGAATGTATGGCTTGTGGCTATAGTCTATATAAAATTTAGTCTTCTGTTAGGATCTTGAAACTATCATGAATTCATAGACCTTTGTGTCTCACTTTGTAGGTTCAACGGTATGAAGGAGCATCTACCATTTTTGGACCACACACTCTTTCTGCTTATATACAATTATTTCAAGGTCTGGCCAAAGCTATTGCTACGGTAAGAACAAATTGCAAGCATGCAATATTAAAGAACTGAGATCTCTGATTCTTTATATTTAAGTGGAAATAGAAGTGCAACCTATAAAGGTGCACATAAGATAGAAGGTTTCAGAAGGGCTGCATTCTAATGGGGAAGTGTTCCACTAAGAGAAACTCCAAGCAAGCTATTTTGTTCTGCATTCTAGCATCCCCCAAGTAAATGTGGTGTTAAACCATGCTGAATAGCATGCTGACTACTACCTACCACCCATGCCCAAGAGAATTATTTTTTTATTTTTTAACAAGCACATTCCCAGAGTAAACAAGCAGCAAAGTGCAAATGACTATTGCTTCCATGGTTTGCTATGGAAGGTTAAAACCAGCCATGTATATTTGAAGGAGCCTAAAAATAGAAAACAAGGGGGAAACAAAACGAGAACTGAACATTCAGAAGAGGATACAGAAATCCTGAACAGAATCTCAACTCCATGCAGCAGAACTTCTTTATTATATAATCCCTCTCCCTTTTTCTTTTGTTCTATTTCCTGGTTAGGGTTAAAACACCTTTCCTTCGAAACTGTATTACATTTGTTTCAGGGTACCACTCAGGATTTACCAAATCTTCCAGAGCCACCCTGCTTAAATATAACAAACCTGAACCTTTTGCCCCTTATTTTTGATGCAAAGCCACTTGGTTGGAAGTATGGTGATGTGCTACAAGATGTCCGGCCAACATACAAAGCGGTAGGTATACTTCTTTTTCACACATCCATTCCAAGAATGGTGCAGCAATGAGGGCATTAGATTAGGATTAGGATTAAGAAACCTTAAGTGCCTTTGGATCAGACCTACTATATCTGTCAACCTAGCCTCCTTCATTTATATGAAATTCCCCCCCCCCTTTTCAGATGATAAAAGCGCTCCCGGCACTTACAGCAATAAAATAAAGTACAGAATTTAAATATGACAGTAAAATGGAAATAAGCATCATGCCTTTTCTGCCATAGCACCTACCCTAAGGAATATTCTCCCTGTAGAAATTAGCATAGCCTCAATCCTGCTGGGTTTTCATAAGGTCTTAAAGACCAGATTCTAGTCCTGGTCCTGGGACCCCAAAAGTGTGAAGGGGCCCATCTCCTGGCTGTATTAGCATTTGTTGAGCGTGATATTTTCCTCGGCTGCTATGTATTTCAATTTTTGCACTATGATTATAATTGTTTCTATTATTGTTTGCAGTAGGGTCATGTGTTGAAATGAGCAGCTGTACAAATTGATGAAACAAAAAGAATAAATAAGGATCATAATTGCCAATTAAAGGCTTAGAGAAAAAGAGGCACCTTTGCCATTTTTCTAATTTCTGGAGAAAAACACAGCCCCTTGGGGAAGGCAATCCACTGCCTGGGAGTTGCACAGGAGAAAGTCCTGTGCGGAGGGCAGCTGAACAGTGAGGCATCTTGCAAAGGGTCCCTTCTGTTGATCTCAGCACCTGGGCAGATTCATAGTGGGAGATACAGTGCCCAGGCAGTTAGATCCTAAGATGTCTGGGGCTTTAAGAGCCATCACCAACCCATTAAAGAGAGTCAACTGCTCTTTTGGGGGAGTTCATCCCCATCTAAAACAAGTCTCATCTCAGTCCCTAAATTCACTTTTCCTTTTATCAGTAGCACCTCAACTTTGCCTCATTCTTTTCAGCCTATTCTCCCTCTTCTGACCCTTTATTGATATTAGGCACGGTTCAAGAGTATTGACTGCTTCCTTGGACTTAGAAGAGTATGGGGCATAGCGCAGCATAGGGGCAAGCATTCTGATGGCCCTCCATTCCAAAACTGTGAAGGGTCCTTCTCCCAAGTGATTTCATGCAAATCTTAAATAACATAGGAGACAGGACTTCATAGGTCAACCTTCTAGGTATTGAACAGTAGTCTCCCTGCACCACCTTCTAAATAGTGACAGCACAACACCCAGGGAAGCTGCTCATTTTGAACACAAGGTAATCTCTGAAGGTCAAGAGCCTTGTGCCATAACAGTATGGATTAACCTGTGCCATGTATATGACTTAAGGCTCATTTTCTCAAAACTCATTCTAACTCTTTCACCTAGGGGGAGGCTGCTGAAGTGCATTTTATAGGTGCAAATCCAAGGAATTCTGCAAAGAACATGGTAAGATGAGAACCAGGAAAGATTATTCAGAAGAATTAAGTGGGTCCTTAGATTCCCTGCATTAAACTAAGTAATTCTGAGATGCAATATCTATTATCTATCATCTATCTTTTATCTATCTATCATTTATAATCATAACTGCAAATAAGGAGAGGGAAGATGGGGAAGAGGAAACAAATGAACAGAAGATACATAATCGTGAAAGAGGTTTAAACAATAAAGCATTAGGTGACCCAGAGAGATCCTCTGATCATATCCAACACATATCCGTAATTGATAGTCCCTGGGAAGCTTGTTTCATGTCTCTATCGCTGTATTATTCTTTCCAGACCACTTTTACTTTCCTGACAGTAGAGAAATATCACAACGTTTCTAAAAGTTGGCAAGTGCTGCAGGATGATGCCTCATGGGATACCCGGTAAGGAATCCTCTCCAGACTTTATGTATTTCAGCAGATATTCACACTGGGCTACATTTTCCAAACACAGATGCACGCTATCGTCTGACGTTGCTTAGGTCTTTTTGAAAGATTGCAACAGTGCAGGGAGGTCAAAATCAGGAGCAGGAGCTGCATGGAAAGAGGTGTAAAGCTTGCTTTTATTGCGTGGCATCTCTGAGATGTTCCTTCTCTGGTCAAATAATACTTCCAAGAAGACAGTTGTGGCAGGACCAGAGCTTGGGAGGAATGATTTAAAATATTTTCTATCTGCAGTTTGAACCAGTACAATCATAGGGTCTGCCAAAAAATATCTACCGATAGACTCTACCAATGTGCTCTAGTGTTAATTGCTAGAGGAGGGAAGAAACAAACTGTGCCCAGACAAATATTGCATAGGTAAGATCTAATGATGATTCTTTAAGGTGGAGGCTGTTTCAGTTCATCGGTGAGCTTTGAGGATGATAAGGTGAGATGTTGAGTTATGTAAATATTATAATTCAGCTACTTAGGTCATTGATGTCTGACTTAATCTTTCATTTGCACATATTATGACATTAAAGGCCTTGGTCACAATGAAACATCACTTGCCCGTTTTCTTTCTTTTTTTTTTTAACTCTTTTCCTGAAGACATTGGCTTTGAAAGCACAAGGCTGGTTGTGTTCCTCCCTTCCCCATAATTTACTCCACATTCCAAGAAGAACTTTGTGATGCAATGGGCTTTTCTGATACTGTACTGAAACCTGAAAGTTATCTGTATTTGACTAAGTCAAGCCTGCATTACTCTTAAGACACCACTTTCATTCATGAAACTTTCTTTTCCCATCAGGTTCATCTGGAGGAAAGGCATGAGGGGCCAAAGTACATCTATAATAGAATGGCTCATCCCAAAGACCACTGAGTCAGGAAAGTACAGAATGCAATATTTTGGACACAGCAAAGAATTCCTTAG